CAGCGTACGTACCACGCGTGTACCATAAGCCACACGGCCTACGGCATTCGGAATACTTCTCAGCTTGAACACGCGGGCTGTGCTTTATTCAGAGCCGACTGCCCAGGAACCGGCTTTTCATCTTCTGCGCGGTTTGTCCACCTCAGCCTGTGGCCGTCGGCGGCCGGGTCAGGCTGTGCGGTGGGGTCGTCCGGAGCGTCCTGGGCGGCGAGCAGCAGCCCTGACTCTGCATAGAGGTCAGTGCCCCGCTGCCCGCCCAGGGTGACGACCAGCAATGTCTCTGCTTATTTTGCCAAATGTCCTGGCGGCGGGGAGGGGGGTGAGTGTGTGCAAAATCACCTCCAGATGAGACCGGCGACTTGTGGTGGTTGTTAAATGTCCGGGGGCTTGCAAAGATGCAAAACCCCAATAAGATGAAAGTAAATGTTAGGAGATCGGCTCAGAGTTGAAAATCATTAAGCGTGGTGATGGATATATGAGGGCTCATTACAGACGCCCGCTGTTTTATGTATGTTGGAAATATTGTACAATAGCGAGGGTAAATGTTTACATTTGTGGGGAATTTTTCACAATAAGAAAGACAAGTGCATGTGTTGAGGGACGTGTGACGGGGAGCGGAGCAAAGACAGAGGGGAGAGGGCGGCGGAAAGCGCACGGGCTACGCCTTGTCCATCTTGGGGTTGCGGGGGGGGGCGGGGGGGGCGGGATCGGCGAGTCCTGCATCAACCCAAAGGCATCACGTGACCAGCCAGGAGCCTGGGTGTCTAGTGACAGACACTGAACCAGCTGTGGAGCAGGCACAGCTCCTCCTGGCATGCGGCCTGAGAGGGATCGTGTGGGGCAGCTGTCCTGACGCAGAGGTCAGAGACCGGCTTCCTGCGGCTCCGGGAACGCCCCTCCCACTCCAGGGCGGCCGAGAATCTGTTTCCTAAACACGCTTTCCTTTTTCTTTTTTTAAATATAGATTTCAGAGAGGAAGGGAGGGGGAGAGAGAGACAGAAACATCAATGATGAGAGGGAATCACTGATTGGCTGCCTCCTGCACGCCCCCCACTGGGGATCCAGCCCACAACCAACCCGGGCACGTGCCCTGACCGGGAATTGAACCCTGACCTCGAGGTTCATAGGTCGACACTCAACCACTGAGCCACGCCGGCCGGGCGTGAACGCACTTTCTTTAGAAGTGGGCCCATCAGGTGAGACTGACGTGCGATTTAGCCAAAGTAATTCTTCAGGGAGTAAAAACTAAAACAAGCTGCAAACTCCCATGTGCCTCTGGTTTAGCCCAGAATAAACGTCATGGCAGCTAGAGGTTGGACGGCCTGGGAATGCGATTTCTCTCCAGACTGTAGGCAGGCCCAGGCTACAGCCTCTGCTTCCTGGGAGGGTTGGTGGGGGCCCCTCAGGACACCCCCCCTGGCTCTTACTCTGGCAGCTGGAGTGAGGGCTTAGGTCTCTCGGAAACACTGACCACCCTCAGCGAGGCCCCAGGGGTAAGAAGAGTCTGAGGGACCTCTCCCCCCTCCTCCACTCAGCCTCCCAACAGGCTTGGCCGGACGTCTCCTGGGAACATTCCGGCAGAAGCAAACTTGGTCTGTAAAACTGAAATCTCAGCCCAGCTGGTGTGGCTCAGCGGTTGAGCATCAAGCTATGAACCAGTAGGTCACGGTTCGATTCCCGGTCGGGGCACATGCCCAGGTTGCGGGCTTGATCCCCAGTAGGGGGCGAGCAGGAGGCAGCCAACCCTTGATGTTTCTCTCTCTCCCTCTCCCTTCCTTTCTGAACTCAATAAAAAAAATATATTTTAAAAACTAGAGACATGGAGGCACAAAGAGCCCTGGTGCCCAGGGAACCCGCAGTCCTGGGCGTGCGGCGAGTTGTTGAAGGTGACGCCGGGGTGGCTGGCATTGATCGTCGGGTTAAGGGTCCTTGGGCTCCCCGCATGCTGCACGCACACCTGCCCCCGGGAGCGATGCCCACCTTCTGATGGAGAGTCACCTGTAGCAACCAGCCCGCAAAAGCCTGGGGGACCCAGAGACTGGCGCCTCTTTACCCGGCCCAAGAGCGGGCCCCGCATCTACGTGGTCCCTCGTCTCCATCCACTCAACCTCCCGGGCTCTTTAGAATGCTGCATTTCCATCTCTACTTGTTAAAAATCAATTCTTACGACTCCAAAATCTAAGTGACTCCCCTTGCCCTGGCTTAGCAGAGAAAGTGCAGAAGGTGATGGAGAACGAGAGAGTCGCCGCAGGCGAGGGGCCTGCATCCTTCCTCTCTCTCCCCCCTGCCCCCCGCCCCTACCCCGCCCCCCGCCGCCCCACAGGTTTAAGAAATGCCTCAGCGTGGCTCACTGATTCAACATCGACCTCTGAACCAGGAGGTCACAGTTCAATTCCCAGTCAAGGGCACATGCCCGGGTTGCGGGCTTGATCCCCAGTGCGGGGCGTGCAGGAGGCAGCCGATCCATGATTCTCTCTCATCATTGATGTTTCTATCTCTCCCTCTCTCCCTTCCTGTCTGAAATCAATTAAAAATATATATTTAAAAAGAAAAATAATGCCTCAGACCCCAGCTCCCTGCATTGGTTGGGGCTGGAAGGCATTTACTCTCCAGTCCCCTACAGGCACGCAAGCCTTTTTGCCTGGTTTCCACCGACATGGCCGCACACCCTCCCTGGAGCTCGATGCGGCGCACGGGCTGCGGGGGCTGCGGGGTTGAGGCAGAGCGTGTGGTTTTGCTATTAAGCTGCCTTCGACAATCAGTAAATTTACTGTCCTGACGGCTTCCGCATGGCTGCTGCGTGCGCGTCTCCCTCCGCCCTCGTCCTGACAGCCTGGCCCCCGTCCTCGTATTTCAGCGCGGTCGCTGCCCGTCTCTCCAGCTGTCCAGCCCCGTCCAAGGCCGACCTGCAGGCGGGTCAGCAGGAAGGAGGAGGGAGAGCTCACTACTTGGATGAAACACGGGGAGGTTTCGCTTGTGCTCGCGGGGCAGGTGCCTGTGGGTCGGCCCCAGCCAAGTCCAAACTCTCCCCGGGCTCAGCGTGGCTGCTCAGGCCGAATCCCCACTCCAGCCCCCTGGCCCTCCTGGGAGAGTCAGGTGGTGGAGGCAGGGCTGCCTGGCCGGGCCTGGGAGAACGTCAGCCTCTGGGGCTAATACTTCTCGGGGACCCGGGATCTGACAACATCCACTCTGTGGGTGGGGCCTGGGTGCCCAGGAGTGTGGGCCCCCTGGTTCCGCTCTTGGGCTGGGTTCCCTGGCACCCCTCACTCAGGGACAGGCCCTTGTCCTCAGTGCTGTCCGCCTCAAGAAAGGGGGCGGGGTGGCTCAGGGGTTGAGCATCGACCTGGGAACCAGAAGGTCACAGTTGGATTCCGGGTGAGGGCACATGCCTGAGTACAGGCTTGACTCCCAGTGTGGGGTGTGCAGGAGGCAGCCGATCAATGATTCTCTCTCCCTCTCCCTTCCTCTCTGAAATCAATAAAAATATATTTAAAAGATGGGCCCCCACACACACACTGGCCAGCATGGCTCAGTGGTTAGAGCATCTATCAGCCTTCGCACTGAAGGGTCTAGGGTTCAGTTCCCCATCAAGGGCATGTACCTGGGTTGCAGGTTCGATCTCTTGCCCTAGTCGGGAGGCAACCAATCGATGTGTCTCCCTCACATCCATGTTTCTCTCTTTCCTCTCTCCCTCCCTTCCACTCTCTCTAAAAATCAGTGGAAAAAGCTATCCTCAGGTGAGGATTAACAACAACAACAAAAGATGGGGGGATGGCAGCAGAATGGGCCCAGAGCGACGACCTGTCAGGGCAGGTGTCATCCTGCCGTCTCCCATGGGGTCCTGGGGGCACCCACCACCCACCTGGCTAGCAGGCAGCGCCCGCCCATGTCATGAAAACCTGGTTGGCGGAGGCAGGAGGCGGGAGCTGGTGTGGCTCCTGTCTTCTCGAGTGTCACCCACGGGGTCCCCGAACTGAAGCCCAGCCACCGCGTCCCAGCCAGAGCAGGGGCAGCTCAGCACGGCGGACGGCACCAGGACACAGGCCCCGCTGCCGGCGCTGGGCGGCCCCTGGAGGCTCGGCTTCCTCGCTGGCAAACGGCCCGAGACTCACGCGGCCTCCCGCCCACATTAGGGACCCACGGGACGTGTGAGCCAGAACCCGGAGAAGCAGCGTGTCACGGGGGGTCCTCCGCTTCCCCAAGTGCTTTGTGCATGTGGATGGCTGCGGCCTCGCCTCGCGTTCGGGAAAGAGGAGGGTAGAGCACCCGTGATAGCACGGCGGTCAGGGTGGGGCCTGGAGCCGGCGGCAGGGTGCACGTCCCAGCCGGACCGTCCACTGCTCTGGGGCCTGGGGCCAGGGCCTCAGTGCACTCTGTAAAACGGCACAATGCTGTCCGCGTCGCTAGGCTGCTGTGCTGACCCCATAGAGCTCTGGTCACAGCGTGGTGAGAGCGCCCGCAGGCCACTGCGCGTCCCTAAACCATGTGAGTCTACGCACCGCGGGGAAGGGCATCGCCTGAGCCTCTCGCACGACGTCCCCTCGCTCTGCCCACCCCCACCCCGCACTATGGTTTCCTTACTGCCTCCCCCGCCCCCTCATGAGCGCTGCAGCCTCCCCGCCCCCATCCCCCATCGCATCGAGCTGGCACCTGGTGGGTGCTCTAAATATCTGCTGGGAAAATGCCTGGAAATGGAGGAGCAGCACTTGCTCTCTGGAAATTGGGGCTCCCTCCACTCCAGAGCCAGCCCCAGCCCCAGCCGGTGGTCCCTCCGCCCTCTGCAGAGGGGTGGGGGCGCGTGGCCGCCTGCTGGGGTTTTCACACCCCTCCTGCTGGGCAGAGGGCACCTGCCAGGGGGTGCTAATGAGCCTGTTTCACGCACATGCACCTGAGCCTGAAACAGGAGCGTGTGGGTGTGTTCCCAGCCAGGAGGCGGTGCCCGGTGCTGGCACCCGTGTGGTTTCTGCGGAGACCAGTCCCCCGGGGAGAGGCAGCCGGGACAAGGACAGGTGTGGCCTGCGGGCGGCCGGAACCTCGTCAGTAATTCCATTCCAATGCGTCAATTATTCATCCCGCGCAGTCGGTTGCTGTGCTCTGCAAGGCCACCCTTGGGCCACCGAGGCCCAGGCTCAGGCGGCTCCAGGCTCAGGCGGCTCCCAGGGGGACAGGAGCAAGCGCCACAGCTGCGATCGATGGTGAGCGGCCATGAGCTGCTGCGAAGCTCCCAGGAGGGGTGAGTCGGGGTTCCCAGCGCGTGACCATCCAGGCGCGGCCAGAGGGGTTCCTTTCCTCCCAGCCTCGGGGGCATTCAGGGTGGGATCCGGTGCAGGCTCAGCCCAGGAGCCCACAGCGCCCGCCCGGGGGTCCCAGGAAGCAGGAGTGATGGAAGAGGGGTCCCTGTCACAGGGGTTGCTGCTGACCTGGGGGCAGCGGCAAAGGAGTTGGTGTCGATGTCACTGGCCCATGACCGAAGTCTGGACGCGCTGTTGTCTGAGGTGTGCTTCCCAGGCAAATGAAGTCAGAGTTTCCAGGTCAGAGGAGGTGTGTGTGTGTGAGGTTTATTAACATATCTTAGGAAGTCTGCAACTAGCTCACACACACACACACACACACACACACACACACACACACAGGGTCACAGAAGAGCTGTGCGTCTGTAGACAGAGAAGCTGTGCTTAAGTCAGGATCTCACCCCCTGAGGCTCAGAGCTGTCTGGGGACCCCACCCGTCTCTGTCGCACCATCTATTCCTCCCACATGAACTTGCGGTCACACATGCGCTCATATTCAGATGCATGTGTATTAACACGCATCTGCCTTTGTCCTCCTTTCCCGCCTCTAGAGGCACCTTTCACATTTATCATCATAACCTGCATACAACTCTGCACGGTCCTTTTCGCTGAGCGTGGCAGCAGGTGCTTTTCCCCACGGCTCGCCGCGGAGCCTTACAGAGGTGCCGTTTGTTTATAGGGCGCGCTTTTCCGCAGCAGGTGTATGCGAGCCAACGCCCCGCTGCCCCGTTTTGGACAAAGTCTGTTGTTGGCACAGAGCCCGCTCCCAAGGCTGTCACTGCAGTGAGACCACGCTCGCTGCCCCCGCCCTCCCCCCCCCCGGCGAGGGCTCCGTCCTGCGTTGCTGGGGGGGGGGGGGTCACTCCTTGCAGTGGCTGGGCCGATGCTGGATCCTCTCATGCTATTGACCCATGAGTGTTGGAAGAGGGGCGAGCACCCGCCGGGTGGGAAGCGCCGTGAAAATGGGGCGCGTGAGCTGGATGGCAGACACAGCAGAGGAGCTGGTGTAGGTGTGGGGGGGGGGGGCAGGCTGGGGAGGCGGCTGTGCACCATGCTGTCCTGGCGGGAAGGTGCCGGGGCCTCGGTCGCCAGCCTCTCTCGGCGTTTGCGGTAAAGCAGGAGCGTGCGTGGAGGGGCCGGAGCACGCGGGCTCCCACGCTGTCCTGCGCTCGGTCACAGCTCTCCCAGGCAGCCCCCAGTCGCAGTCCCACGCGCCCCGCCCCAGGACCCCGGGTTCCCGAAAAGCCGGATTCCGCCTTGGGAGGATTGGTGTCGTTGGTATAACTTGGTGAATATGTGTAAAATTGCCCGTTCCCATGAATAGAGTGGGATTGTTAAATGAAACTCTTCCCCCAGGAAACTGAACTGCTGCCATTTTCCCGGCTCGGCCGGCCGGGCGCCTGCAGGCCAGGGTTCGCCGCTTATTCCCACAGCGCGCAGCTGCCGTGGTCTGCTCGGTCCCTGGCTCAGTCTACACCAGTGTTTCCCACGTTGGCACAGCGCCCCTGTAACCATTGTTGTTGTTGTTACTCCTCCCCCGAGGGTATTTTTCCATTGATTTTTAGAGAGAGTGGAAGAGAGAGGGAAAGACAGAGAAACATCCATGTGAGAGAACACACATCGATGGGTTATCCTGCATGAGCTCCAACCAGGGCCCAGGCCGGGGAGGAGACTGGAACCAAGGTACATGCCCTTGACCAGAATCGAACCCAGGACCCTTTGGTCTGCAGGCCGACGCTCTATCCACTGAGCCACACCAGCCAGGGCTTCGTAACCATGATTTGAAAGCCTCAGTGATAGCTCAGAGGTGGGTGCGGGGCACAGAAGTTCAGTTCACGGTGGTAAGCCGAGAGCATCTTCCCATGCGGCCACAGAGCCTGGCTCGCGGGCACGCCCCCGCGGCGATCTGGTGCCGAACGGGAGACTGTGCTGGGCTCCCCTCCACGGCAGGGCGACACAGCAGGCCCCTCCCACGCTCACTGTCCTGTCCCTCTGTCCAGCTGGACTCTGTGCCCGGCTCCTTCCCACTCGCTGGTGGGAGGTGCGGCCAGATGTGCAGTCCTGCCCGGCGGAGCCTCGCGGGTCACCCCGGCCCCCCGAGTGTGCTCACTGGGCAGAGGGTGGCTGAGCTCGGGAACCGCAGCCCCCGCTGAAGTGACCTGCTTTCTGGCTCAGCATTTTAGGAGCGGCGCCGAGGGTCTCGCGGTGCCAGCATATAGACCTGAACCAAACAGGGGTGTGGTGACTCAAAGGGCCAGATAGCCGGGGACACACGGTGTTGTCACCAAGACAGAGGTGGGGAGACGAGGCATCTGGTAGGTGGCACAGCGACTTCATAGGGTCTGAGCGCCGGCTGCACATACATGGGGGGGATTCCTTTCGGCACAAATCCATTTCCCATCGAACTTCCATGTTTTCTTTAGTCCAAAGACTGGTTTCTCTTTCTTACCATGTTTCCCAAAGAAGCCTTTCCTTTTTTTTGTGTGGGTTTTTTTATTCAACGCCACCAATGTAGCCTTTGAATAAGAGGTCCTGCAAGACTTGGATTAGAATCTCACTTTCAAAATAAGTTGGAAGCACACTTTTTAAGACTCGTGTTCTGTCTTCCTGATAAAAGTCCTGGCACCTGAGGTCGGCTGTCAAGGTCACACGGTACCGCTGGGCAGAACTAACTCGCTGGGTCCTGACCCAGTTGCTAGTGGGTTCCACTCAGGCATTGCTGGGACGTGTCTCCTGTGCAGGGAACGCGTTTTTATGGTTGAGCGAGTGAAGTTTTTTGGAAAAAAAAAAAGCCATTTTAATGTCATTTTCATGGCTTCCTGGAAAACGTAAAGACAACGACTTTCCCATAAATTATTTTCCCTGCCTCTTCCTGTGCCCATAAACAAAAAGCCCAGAGAAAGCCACATTTCCTCAGCAGTGAGCTCTAGGTTTTATGCACCGGTAATTCTGATTCAAATTCAGAATCCATTTGACTTTGAAATACCAAGCCTAGACAGAGACAGACATAATGTAATGCCCTTAAGTGCCACGTGTTACAATGAAAGGTAAATAGATTATTGATTAAATGTAAAAATATGTTCTCATTACATAGGCAATACAGACTATAGTCTCCTTAATTCATAAAAAAAAAAAAATTAAAGGAAATAAAGCTAAAGTCCGACCTGGCCCCCACCCTCAAGCCTCATTTCCTCCTGCCCCTCATAGAGACTCTATAGTTCAGGGTATATGCATTATAGAGACCTTTAAAACTGCATTTACAGACACATGCACACTAGAGGCCCAGTGCGGGTCCCTCGGCCTGGCCTGCACCCTCTCTCAATCTGGGGCCCCTCGGGGGATGTCAGACTGCGATTTCGGCCCGATCCCAGCAGGCCAGGCTGAGGGACCCCACTGGTGCACGAATCCATGCACCGGGTCTCTAGTATGCATATAAGATCTTTGGTTAATCTCTTCCCACCTTCCACCTTCCCCTCTTCCCTCTGAGATTCATCTGTCTGTTCCATGTTTCCATGTCTGTGCATTGAGCATCTGCCCCCTGGTGGTCAATGCGTGTCATAGCTACCGGCTGGACAGTCGGATAGTCAAACGGTCACTTAGGCTTTTATATGGATAGCTATCACATTGTTTTTAGTGGGGGGCGGTTAATGTAATTTGTTTCTCATCTTGTTTTTTTTAGTCAACAGTCTGTCTTGGAGTTCTTTTTGTGTTCATTTGTGGAGCTGTAGCCCTTATTTCTTTATTTGTGCTGTTCAAGGATTTGCTATGGTCTCCCATCTCCCCTCCTCCAGGCTGTCCTCCTTGACTCCACCCGGTGTACCGCCTCCTGCTGTTTGGAATAGTGGCCCTGTCCTGCCTGTTTATTCTTCAGAGCCCTGTCAGCTGTGCTGGGGCCTCTCCCTGCCTCTGCCTCTGTCAGAATCCCTCCTCCTCCCCTCCCTCTGTAGCCTGCGCTTGTATCTGTTCGCACTGGGATTTGGCTGAATCAGGTTTGTATGATCATATGGCCTTATCGTAACCCGAACCTTAACCTCGTAAATGCTTGTGTCGGGGAGGAAAGGTTTCCCTCTAGGGCCCTTGGTGGCCTCTGGATGAATCGACTGAGACAGATTCACAGGAGAAACACAGATTTCATTTTGTGCGTACGCGCCCCCCGCCCCCCACCCCCCCACCCCCAGTCGTGAGAGGCGCTGGCATTAGGAATAGAGGCTGGCATGCACCCTGAGCTACGGGGAAGCAGTGGGGAGGGTCTGGGACTTCACGGAGGACCCTCCCAGGAGAGGAGGAGGGCAGGTGCTTGGTGAGCATTCGCCGCGCAGTGACACGCACATGCGTCCTTCTGATGTAGCAAGTTCCCTCTGGTGACAGCTCTCGTCCTGGCACAGGCCCCGGTCTAAATGCTTTAGGCAGTTAAGGGGGTGGGGGTACAGCGCTCTTCGTGAGTCAGCTGGGCCTTGTCTCCAGCTCACAGTCATTCACAGGCCACACGGCACACCTGGGCGCCTGGCCTGGCCCCTCCCTCGTTTCCACAGCTGGCTCCCCTGTGGGGCAGGCACCCCGGTGATGTCTGCTGACCTTCCTGCGCCCCTGGGCACTGCCTGGCACGCAGTAGGTGCTCAGTAAAGGCTGGTTGGCCTGCCCGAGCGGGGCACCTGCGCTTGTCTGGGGAAACTGCTGTGTGAGGTGGGGACAGAGAGAGGCAGTGTTGCGGGGGGCCGCCCCCTCAGAGACCCCCACACTCCTTTTCCCTGGGGAGTCTCCTGGCTGCTGCCCTGTTCGCAGAGCACAACCTGTGGCTGAAAGGAGACCTGCAAACCAGCTTCCCACGGGGCTGCTGTCCAGTCCGCCGAGGGCTTGTTTTTCTAAAACAAAGAAAATGCATCCCTCCCACACCTGCCCTGCAGCTGAGTCCTGGAGCAGCGACTTAATCTGTAACTGAAGCG